ACTGATTCTCAACTACACATTACAGGCCAAAGGGCCCATTTCTGATCTCACCCACACAGGTGTAAATCTAGAGTAACTCCATGACTTTCAGTGGAGTGACTCCAGATGTACACTGAGCTTGGTGTTAGGCCTGTAGTGAGGACACCCTGGCATTCCTGCTCTCTGTGACTAAAAAAAGTCTGTTCGATCCATTCTAACACCATTTCTGTTCTCTGATCTGGAGACGCAGACCTTCCTGCAGCTGCTGGGGTTGGAGCAATTTCCCTATTCACTGCAACTGTGACACTATACAGAAAATAAGTTTGCGGCTTAGCTTAACCTCGCCCCTGTGCTTTCTTCATAGCCTGTGCCCAGGCAAGGGAATGAAACAAGGGAGGTACAGCAGCTCGTTTTAGACCCCTTCAGACACAGAAGAGTCCCAAGGGCTGATTCTCCTCCCGTTTATGCTGGTATAAATCCACCGAGAGAGAGACAGCTGTAAGGCTGATGTGAGATCAGCACCAGGTCCTCGCTGTCTTACTGTTGTCACAGGAATCAGAATGGCCCTGGCAGCCTTCCTGCCTGTTTGCTCCTGCACAGCCATAGGCAGTTTTCCTTCTGATTTCCTTCCCAGATATTCCAGAGAGGGAAGGACTTGGCTGTGTCTGAAAGTACCAACTGTCCCCCAGGGCAGCCCCAGCAAGCTCAGAAGTTAGAGAGCTGCCAACTCTAACCATCCCCTCCAGCTCTCATCTCAGGAATCCCAGCAGCCACACTGGCACCAGCCCTGATCACAGAATTTCCAAAGCATCCTGGACAAAAGAACCGTGCAAGAGTGGAAGCCAGATTTCCTTTAGCCCCACACGTACCTCTAGGGTGACCGAGTGCTGTGGCACAGACCCAGCAGGTGTCGTACACTCTGGGAGTTCACCCACCAATTCACCCCAGAGTTGTCTAACAGCAGAGCTCTGCCAGAGCCCAAACTGCTGGAGTAACTCCCCAGCTGCCCTGCACCATCCCTTCTTACTCAGTAACTACTAGTCACCTTGGTGGCAATAAGAACGAATAAAGCCTGAGGAACTCAGGCAGGTCACAAGGGAAAAGGACAATGACTGAAAGACACCGGCACTGGCTGGTAGCCATCTTTACTGTAGCCCAGCCTCCACATCCAACAGCTTGAGGGAAATGGCAGCCAGCTTGACCCAAGGCAGGCTATTTCTTCAGTCCTATGGAAAGGCAGGGGAAATGGTGGCCATTTTGAATAGGGGAAGAAATTCATGAATTTGATGCCATTTGATTCCCCTTCAAGTGTGCTGTGAACATAACAACTGCCACAGACAGGCGAGAGGGGACTACAGGGAGAGAGACACAGCAAGGGAGCTAGGAATCAATGGGATTACAAGGGTGCTTCACCCATGTATTTGAGGGTAGAACTGGACCTTTACGGGCTCAGGACCAAATTCTGCCCTGACCTACGCCCCATGCAAGTCCATAGATGTAGGTGTGACTGTGGGAACAGTTAAGCCCAAGGTGGGTATTGGACCCTCTATCAACCCTGCTTTAGGATCAGTATAAGCCTTCACACCCAAACCCTTCTAAGCCAGTGTTTACTTAAATCCCTGTTTTTATTTCCTTTCCCCAAGGGGAATCCTGACAGTTCAATCTTCGTGCTGCTCCTGGCTGTGAACTGTATTTTGACTGATTAAAAGCATTCTAAGGTACACCATTAACTTTCCCATGTAAACACTGTGCACGGTGTGAAGCAAGATTGGGGGGGAGGGAGGGAGGGAAGCACAACCCTCCTGAGCCTTCCCTGTGGGACAGTGCCAGAGGAGGAGGAAGGAAAGGCTGAAGAGCAACCAGTTTAGGTGGGATTTTCCTTCTGAGTGGTTGTTTTGTGCCAGTCTGAGCCCAGGTGAAACTCAAGGCCTGCGAAGATGTACAAGTTTGGGATAGCAGATTAAGCTGTGAGAGCCCTGAGGGAAATGAACGGAGACTCAGCACTTGGGATGTCTCACACGAGGCCCAAACACCACGTGATATGCTGTAGGGAATAGCCACGCGCTGGGCCCAGGGACATGAACTGACAATCTAACACATCTGCTGGCTGTGACTTACATCTGCTTTTCCAGCCAGGCTCTGCAGAGGCACGCACGGTACATTATTGGCATTACAATAGGCAATGTGCCCAGTGTGAGATCGACACCCGCTGGCAGGGAGCTGCCATACTCTCTCCAGTAACACGCAGGCGCTCTGTGGGGAGGACAACAGATACACCAGCCGACGTTCCTCGCTCTTCTAGGAGGAACCATCATGAAAGTGGCCCAAGGGGGCTGCATCCGATTTCATTTCTGCTCGGGAGAAAAGAAGCATCTTTCAGACAAGCTTCATTTGAAATCAGAGGGATACTCTGGGATGGAAGGAGCAGGCACAGCCCCTCTGTTTCTGAAACGCCTCAGAGCTTAGCCTCAGTTCCCTCTTGGTGGAATAAAGGCTTAATTCATCCTTGCTCAGGGCCCCTTTGCACTAGCCCAGCTGGCACAAAAAGGCCATAGGACCACCCTGAGATTGCTTCCCCTCCCAAAGAATAAACCTGGCAGGGAAGGCCCATACTCCAGCTGTGCCACTCTACCCTGCCTCCGCATGAGCACCAGGCACAGAGGGCATGGTGAGGCAGAGCACAGGCAGGCTGGAGGGACAGCCCATGGCAGATCCACTGTGCCCCTGCAATGGCTCACAGCAGCCAGATGCTGGGGCACAGTTTAAGGCAGGCCTGAGCACCATGCCTGGGGACTGAACCATTGCCCACAGTCTCTGAATGATTTCCCTCTGTTCCTGTGCTGGCATGGTGTCGAGTCTGCCCCTATGTTCCCAGCGTGAGTGTGTGTGGTCTCTTTCTCCAGATAATTATCCTCCCTAATCAAATCAAGCCCCAGCTGCTGGGTAAGTCTGACCCCAGCAGGGATCTAGATGCACTCAGCAGGCCGGTTCACTCTTGGCACTTCCCCAAGGCCTGTAGGAAGCTAAATTGCCTCCGCATTAGGGCTAACCCTCTCCCGTGGGGAAGGCAAAAGCATGGAAGCTCCACCTTGAAAAGGTAATGTTTCTTTTGCAGCTGGAGGGGAGACAGGCTTCGGAGGAATAAAACAGTGCTGAGGCGAAAAAGGCCACTCCGCTCTCAGGAAGAGAGGCTATTTAAACAGGACAATACTGGTAAGGAGATAATGATGCACCCAAGAGACCAGTCACATCTACCCCTTCCAGTGGGCTGCTAAAAGTCGAGTCAGGCCCTGCCAGATTGATTTCCTAGAATCCCACTGGATCCCAAAGTCATGGGCTGGGATCACCCACTGTTTTAGTGCAGGAGAGTCTAATGTGCTGTAATGACACAGGAGAAAGGAGGCTAAATGCTGGGGAACCCACACCCCCCAACACTGGGGCCCCATTTTCAAAGGTAATCTCTGATATATCCGGGCCCCAATGCTGGTCCCACACCCACCTACTGAAGGTAGAATGCTAGGAGTATTGGTCCTGGGGAAACGGTGTAATTACGAAAAGAGGATCATTGAATAGGTGGGTTTCTGGGACAGACAGTCCATCCTGTGGAGTCCTGTAGGTGGCGATCCTACAAATAGACAGTAGGTGTCTATCCTACAAATAGACAGTCCCATAGGAGAGGGATTCCTGGTGGTTATGCTGCCTCCACAAAATGAAGAGCACTATCCACTGTCAGGCTGTAACACCAGGTAGTGTCCCTTGCTTGGTTCCTGCCAGACCAAGGAGAAGCAGGCCAGATCACAGTGCAGGAGAGACTCTTCATTCAGTGGAATACACAGAGAGACTTAGCTGTCCAGATCCGCACAAATGACTCTGACTCCCAGCCACCCCTGTTAGCCGCACTAATTCTGCATGAGAATGAGCTCTCATTCAGCTGTGCCTGCTCGAACCAGCAGTGGAGGCCGTGCTGTTCCACACCTCAGTCCCACGCCTGCCAAAGCTCCAGTGCAGAAATGAATGGGAATTGCCTGGTATTGGCCTCCCCTGCCCCTACTGAAGTCAGTGGGAGTTTGGCTGTTGAGTCTTAGGGGCATGCTCCAGGTCTGTTGGAAGTGAATGAGTTGCTATAAAACCACGGCCTTAGGACACATGTATTGCCAAATCACGTGTAGAGCTGAAAACTTCCCAGGATTCTTTTATATTTAAGTGAGAACTGACCTCCAGGGCATCTTCAACCCCAGCAGCGATGGGGAATGGCATTTGGCTGCTGTGTAAACTCATCTGAGGTGACCTCTTGCAGCTGGAGCCCACTGAAGGCTGAGGGTGACCTGATGCAGCAAATGATTTAGACTCTAATGTAGCACATTTCTGGACACTTTTCTGCTCTGATCTCACCCTGCACCTTGTTCACCTTTGATTTGCTGAGTTTCTTTCCCAGTCACCAGGTCCCACATGGCAGAAGTGAAGATGTGGTGCTGCAAACCCCCTTAAAACTCAGCATTTGCCTGACCAGTAAAACGATTATAACCAATCTACCCCCATCTACAACAGTGGGGTTTGAACGCAGCAACCTTCAGCTCCAGCATCTACTCCTTGAGCTAAAGAGTTAACTCTCCTGGTCAGAAGGGTAGCAGACACATAAGAATCCTATGCCGCTAGAGGGAGGCAAAGACCCACATTCTCCTAAACTGGCTATACAATCACTGCCATTCCACTCTTCATGTAACACTACCATGGTATCCCCTGTTCCTACTGCAATTCTGCAGTTCCAGTGTCTCGGATTTGCCAGTTCCTACAGTGGCACCAGGGCATCTCCTAGTCGAGGCAGTGCAGGAACCCAGGGTGGTGCACTATGGTCAGCAACTCCACACCAATCCATGTGCCCTACATAAGCTCATCCTGAGGAGCCTTAGTCCAGCTTATCATCACAGAGCGACAGTATTCGGATCCTCACTGTGGCCACTAAACTGCTTCCCTGCCCTCCCTTGGTGTGGCCAGGCCAAATATGGAGTCCGGAATTATGATTCTTCCTCTAGGCAAAAGTTTATTTTCCTTTATAAAGAGCAGAGTGCAGCCACCTTGCTGTTTAAATTGAGCAATTAACACACTGTTTTTGTCTTACATTTAAAACGAAGTGTCTAGACCAATAACAGCTTGCAGTTCTCTAGCTCCTTTCAGCCCAAAGCACTTTACAAACTGATAGGAAAATCTACACAGAGGGATCATCTCACCCACTGCTGACCTGCAGTGACCTCCAGGCTGGAACACGGCAGCTGGTTAACAGCACACAGCAACATTACATAGCAGTTTAGAGCAGAAACCAAAGAAAAATAGATCCAGGTGGAACTGCAAGGAAAGAGCTGAAATCTGAATTTGAGGAGGACATTCTCAGCTTTCCCTCATCACAGCTGGTGTAAATCAGAATAGCTCCACTGGACTCAGAGATGCTGATTCACACCAGCTCAAACGCTGGCACCCAGCCTAGCTTGTCCTTAAATGCTCTCTCTCCAGGCCTGTAATTCACAGTGTAAAACAACATCTTCCCTTGCAGAAAACAGCTAATATTTTTTTCAGCCAGGATCAGAGTGAGGATTTCCAGGACACCCAGCTGCTAAAGAGGAATTAAACTTTGCAATCCCACTATGGCTCGTGGCAGAAGCAGAGCCAAGCCGTGGGGCCACAACTGGGTGCTGGTGTTTCAGACCAGCCCTGTTCTAAGTAGGAAGAGGCAGGTACCATGGGAGCATTTCCAGCATCCTCCTCCCAGCTACCTTTGGGGAGCAGGACTTGAGTTTCACTTATTGACCAACCTTTGCTTGCAAGTGCCACTGTATGTCATCAGGGGGGCACCAAGGGCCACCAGGCAGAGCCTCCCGCAGAGCAGCAGGGCGCAGCCAGCATTCCCACGATCAAAGGAGTGCCTCTCCCAGGATTGCTGCCCCACGCTCAAGAGGCTCTTATGCAACGAGGCATCTGCTGACCTGCAAACAGCCCAGAGGTTCTATTGCCATTTGCCCCCCGGTCCCAGACAAACGCAAAGCGGAATGGAAGGCAACTCATGCAGAGCGTTTTCCTTTGCACATTATCAGGTTACTTGTGCAGCAGCCCCTCTGGGGAGAGGCTGTGACGTCACAGATGATCTGAGACTGGGTGCTAACGGGCCAAATCATGCCTCTGCTGATAGCAGTGGAGTTACATCACAGAGAAACGCGGTCCAGCAGCACCATGCGAGACGGTGTAACAGCACAGGACGGCAGCCGAGATGATGACATAGTAGAAAAGGTTAATTATTCAATTATAAAGACAATCCAAGGCAAGGATCATGGCTTTGCAAGGTTCTGTACAGCACCGTGTATATTTAAATGTCTGAGCCCAAGCCACTCGGAGTCCAAGGATGTCAATGAGCTTTGGATCAGGCCCTCCCAGCACTACTGCATATACTCCTATATTAACGACAGTGGGAGGGGAGATGTGAGCTGCAGGGGGGGCTAGGAGATGGTTGCCCCAGGCGCTGTCACCCACATGCAGTGGTGTCTCAGGGCTCCCCTGCTGGGGAGCTGGGAGACCTTTAAGGAAGCACTGACAAGGCTCGGGTCCAATACAGGAGTCACTGGGTGAAATTCTACAGCCTGTTATACAGGAGGTCAGACTAGATGATCTAATGGTTCCTTCTGGCCTTAATCGAGCAGCACAGAAGTGAATGCCCAGGGCCAGAGCCTATAATTGGCCACTGAGTAGTGACTGCCTGAGTTGGGGGCTATAAGGAGAGCCAGAGAGGAGACAGCCCCAGGGAGGTGAATGCCTGAAGCCACAGCCTAGAAATAGGAGTGGCTACAAGGCATCTGTCCTTGGCTGGGGTTTAAAGCAGAGCAATAGGGAGATGCTCATTCCTGCAGTGACCATAGCAGGGCACCGCTGCCTCACGAGGACCCGAAGAGACACTGTCTGCAGCCTAGTACAGCCAACCTCAGCATAGCTGTGGCCAGCTTTTCTGTTCTGCAATTTCCATTTGCACTGAGACCAAGGCCCCAGGCATGGAGCTTTGGCCTACGCTGTAGCTCTCCGGCTCTGAGCTGGATTACAAAACCAAACCCTGAGCTGAAAAGAGAATCAAACCCCTCTTTGTGACTGAGTGAATGGAAAGTGACTCCGATAGGCGACTGCCAGAGGAGCAGGGAAGCACTTGGAAAACATGCTTTGCATGGCTCTTAGTGAGGTTTTTGTGCGGTGCTGGCATTTGCAGGGGGCACCAGTGAGGGCTGGGGGACAGCTGGGCAATACTGCACCCCTGCCTCAGGCAGAGGGGTGGATGTGGGAAGGCCCAGCTGCAGTTCGGTGCCGAAGGACCCACTGCCAAACGGGGGAGCCCCGGACCAGCCTCGTGCACAGCAGGTCTGGGAGAATCCACAGAAGCAAGATCGTGTATAAAATTAAAAAAACTGGCTATAGGCAGCATAGAGAAAAGGGTCCACTATGGACAGAACTTAGAGCTGGCCACCCCACAGAGCTCAAAGGACCAGCCCATCTCTGGGGGGAGAGGGGGTGTCTGCATCTCAGTCGCTGTGAGAACGGCAGCAAGGAGGCCTTTGGACGGGGGAAACTCATGCTCCTCCCCTCTGCAGTTCATGTCAGGCCAGGAGAGGGAGGGAACCCCGTGAGCATAGATGCACTGCCTCAGTCTGTCTGCCTGCTGGAGTACGTGACCTTCAAGATGGGGCAGCTCCCTTCAGACGGCGAGGCCCAGCCTACATCGCGCTGGGGTGGAAGCCCAGCTTGGCCATGGACATTTCCCTCCTGAGCCGCATGATTTCCCAGTACATCGGCTCCACTGCAAAGCAAAGGGGCAGGGGGGTTAGCCAGCCCCACGCTAGGCGCCGTGCGAGCCACCTGGCTCAGCCCCCTCCCCTATGAGTGGGACGTAGCTCCACACTGAGAGTACACGTGGACTGGAGTGAGCCACAGCAGTAGGGCCATCCTGCTCAGCCAGCCCTGCAGCATGGGGCACAGCCCCCAAAGCACAGAGTGTGAGCACCTCCTTTCCTTCTCCACCCCACTCCTGCCCGTCCCACACCTCAGGCCTCTTGTCCCCCTCCCTTGCTTCCCTGCCCCTTTACTGACCTCTCTCCCTCAACCTGTCTAGAGCTCTCCACATCTCCTTCCCATTCAGCTAGACTGGGGCCCTCCCATCCCTCCAGAGCATTTACTAGGCCGAGGGAAAATCCCATCTGCCCTCTCGCCTCCCTTCACTGAACATTAGGAACCCAGTCCCTTTCTGCAACAGGGAGCAGCCCTTGCAATAGCTCCCACTGACCAGCAGTAGGCAGCCACACCCAACCCTCTGCTGGGGGCCACCAGCTGCCTCTTACCATCCTGTCTCACCAAGCCCTGCTGGATGTAGCGAATGTAGGTGAAGAAGTTGCATACGGCTGTGATCTAGGGGAGAGGGAGAGGGAGAGGGAGAGGGAGAGGGAGAGGGAGAGGGAGAGAGAGAGAGACATTGCTGTAAAACGGCCTCACCAATAATAATAATAGCACAGCAGGGGCTGGCCAAAGCAAAGGCAGATACGCTGGCCAGAGGACCCCTTTTCCTTAAGTCTGCAGGGTTTGGCATCGCCACCACCCACCTCAGTGCTTTGGCGCCATCCTCTATGGTCACAGGGCTGATTTTCACAAGTGCAGAGCACCCGCAACTCCAGCTGGAGTCAATGGGAGCTCATGACTACTGTCACTTTGGAAATCCTGGCACAAACCCATGGGACTCTCCCTGGCAGGAGGAGGAGAGTAAAGTGGGATAGGCAGGGGAAGTGCAGATATAGAGCTAGACTGGGAGTAAAGGGTGGTGGGGTCTAATGTCTGCTCTGCCACTGAGGCACTGTGTGACCTTGAGCAAGTCACTTCATCTCTCTGGGGCCCTATTTCCTCACCTGCAGCAATACTGAAGTACTTTGAGAATTATGGATGAAAAGAGCTTTCTAAGTCCTGTGTATTTTAAGCCAGGGAGGAGAGTTAGGAGAGAGGCAGATATTTATGTGTATTCAGTATCCGAAATTAAGGCTGTGTAAAGATGATGGGGGGAGAGATAGCTCAGTGGTTTGAGCATTGGCCTGCTAAACCCAGGGTTGTGAGTTCAATCCCTGAGGGGGGCCATTTAGGGATCTGGGGCAAAAATTGGGGATTGGTCCTGCTTTGAGCAGGGGGTTGGACTAGATGACCTCTTGAGGTCCCTTCCAACCCTGATAGTCTATGAGCAGGGGCTGGCAAAGTTTCACTACAATATTTGTAACTGAAACATCCTAGGCCAGAAATAAGGACCTAGAACTTTTGCACTTTGTGAACATTCAGACTTGAAAGGAAGAACTGAGCTCTGCTGAAGGAAGTTTTACATGGGAATTTCTTTTGTTTGAAAACAGCCCTAGAGAAAAACTACACTGTTTGTGCAAGGAGGGGTTGTACTAAATTGGACTGCTTTTGTTGAAGTGACAAAGTTTGAGCTCTGTTGCCAATATCCCCCACAGCCCTATCCCAGACAGGGATTGCTGTAGGGAATGATTTGCTCCTTTAGGCCCCAAGTCAGCAAAGCACTTAAACACATGGTTACCTTTTAGGCAAATGCTTGATAGCTTTGCTGAAGAGAGCTAAGCATAACCATTTGTTTAAGTACTTTGCTGAATCAGGGCCATAATAATACTGAATAATTTATCTGTTCAGTGCTCTCCAGAGTAAAAGGAGAGTCTGCTTCCAGAACAGCCTTAGTCACGGCTCTCCACTGCACAGTAACGAAACCCAGCATTCAAGGAACAGTGAAATACAATGTTTGACAAAGGAAATCAAAGCTTCACAGAGAATCAAATCATGGAGAAGAGAGAAGTAAAGACATATTTTGAAAGTTACTGTTGCCTTAAATGAGTGACACAACCCAGACCACTGCATGGTATTGTACCCTGAGAAACAGGGCGGGGTAGCAGCGATCAATGCAGACTGACTGAGAGCCAACCCAACTCTATCAGCCCAATTCACTCCTACTGTCTTCTGTGGAGCTACACCAGGGATTACTCTGTTTCAGTTCCTGGAAGGAGCTGGGAAGAAGAGCTGGCCCCTGGGATACTGGAGGACTTACCCTGGCCCTGCAGGATGGTGAGATGTAATAATAGTTCCCAGAATCCCCCAGCTTGATGCGGTGTTTGCAGGCTCGGGACAGGCCACTCAGAGCGCACTTCCTGCCAGGAGAAAGGAAAACAGTGCTTCAGTGAAGGAGAACTCCTGGAGGAACAGAGCATGGCAGCTAGCAGCTTCCTCAAGCCAACCCCCAGCAGCTAGGTCTGAGTCAGTCAGAGCCCAGGAGAGGAAAGAAGAAGGTGGGATTTGAGTTCTCTGCTGCCAGGAACAATTCAATAAAAGCTGCAGGAAGGGGCAAGTACAGGAGAATTCTCATCCTACATTTGCACAGGAGGCACCAGGAGCTACACAATCCCCAGGTAAACTGATACAGGGCCCTGCACGCCAGGGCTCCCCGGGATGGTCTGAAACCAGAAGGACATGCAGTGCTGGCAACAGGCCAGGAGAAAAGCTGTTAGACATTAGGATAAAGCAATGTAACAAGTGTAAAGAGTTCTGTCTGTTCTCTGCACCCTCTCCATCATACATGCACTGTGGGTTACTCAGCCTTAGGAAAAGGGGCTCTATGTTCTGTGAGGGGAGAGGGCTGTTCCTTCATCACAGCTCAGGGCTGGATCTGTTTGGTCAGAGTGCCGTACGACAGCTATTCAGACTGCCCCTGAGACCTGGTCTAGTGCACATCAGAAGGTCTGCGGCCAAGCTCAGATTGCGGTTCAATTTCTCCACACAGAAACATGGCACCATACGCTCCATACTCAGATCTTTAAGTTGTTCCATTCTACTACTATCACAATGGGAGTGGTGGGGTTTTAGGACATATTCCCTCCATAATACAGATTCCCTGATGGACCAGAGCCACTTGGACCACCCAGTCTGATCCCTGCATTTTGCAGGGTCTCTCACTATTTTATTCTCATTAACCTAGTCTCCAACCTTCTCTTGAACTCTGTAGCAATGGTGCCTTGACCAACCATTCCCTTCACTACTCCGTTGCTCTGAGCATCCCTCTTAGACCTTCTTCTTCCTTATCTTTAAAGTTATTGCTCTTTGTCCTACCATCTTCCAAGACTGGGAATGTTCCCCTTTCTCAGTTTATATTGTTGTTACTCTGAAGGTATTTATACACCAAAGGCCAGATCCTGAGCTCAGTCACACTGGTGTAAGTCCAGAATGCCTATGCTTTTCCCTTGGCTCATGCCCAGTTCAGAGCCAAAGCCTGGAGCCCTTACTCAAGAAGAGCTTTCACTGAAGCCAATGGGAGTTTTACCAATGTTCCTCATCATCTGTCTCTGTGCACACAACCACTCACTGGGAATTGAACCCAGTTTCAAAACACAAGCCTCTATCATGTGAGCTAAAAAGGACTAATTCCATTATCTGGAGACAGTCGAAGGCTGATAACCTCTTCTACGGTCCAGCCACAAAGGGGATATGTAATACTCTCTGGCAGCATGCTACTACATAGCTCCTTCAACCTCCCCTTATGCATGTCTTCTCTTCCAATCAGTGTATCATTCCTTTGTTGTCCTTTAACACGTGCTCTTTCGGGAAGCTTTTTCTGCTGGAACCCACAGCACAGTCGGTCAGTTCTAACCTGTGCCAATGTCACACAGAGGCCAAGTTCAAACATTATCTTTTAAACTTCAAACACGAACTTAAACAAGAAAAGGTTTATAAATTACATCCCATCTGCAACAAAAGTGGAATGCCCATGTGGTCTGGCATCTTCACTGAAGGACCACATGGACTATACACCGGGGCTCATCGCTGATTATACCCAACGATTGCAGTTGGTATCTTGGAGGCAGTGAAGTTATAGTACCCTCCAGAGTCCCTTTTAATCAGATGGGGCCTGATCCAAAGCCCACTGAAACTGAGGGGAGTCTTTCCAGATCAAAGGCCAGGAGATGTTGGGGTGTCCTGATCTTCTCTGACTCTTTTCAACTGTCTGTAAAAAGAACTCCAGTTTCCAGCATTTGCTGAAAAATTCCAGGAACATTTCCAGCATCACTCCATGCAGCCCAATAGGGATTTCCTGGGATTTCTCAGCATTTAACCACCGTCACATCCTTCTCAGTCCCCTCGCCTCTGTGCTGGATGCTGACTTCACTCCTTAGCTGTGAAAGTAGCTACGATGGCCATGAATCAGGCAGGAAGAATCAGAGAGATTGGAAATGTGACACCAAATGTTCAGGAAGGCTTGTGAGCCTGTTTATCTTCTCTCCCCCACTAGCAAGGGATTTAAACAGACAAACGCACCAAAAAATAAAAGAAGAAGCCTGGCCTATGTTTTCTGAAGTGAGGAGTGATTTGGGCTGCCTGGTTTTCGAGACATATTAAAGGGAGAAGATTTTCAGAGAGTGCCGAGCACTCACACTCCAGAAACCAGGCCTCTCTATAAGTTGGGCCCAAAATCATTAGTCACTTTTAGGCATTTGTCCCAAAGAGTATTGTAAGTGGGACCTTCAATTCACGTTCGGGCATTAACAGGATTAAAAAAGTTACTGGCTAAACTCCAGCCACAAAGCCATTAGTAACCAGGGGAGTTAGTAACTTGTTAATGGATCAGAGATATTTAATCATTGGCTAAAAATCACTTACGTTACAATTTGTGACCGGAACCCGCTGTGAGAAGAGACAAAAGAACAAAAGGCAACCAGTCAGGATACACACAGGACGGCTTGGTTTTGGCATGGGACTAACACTCACAGAGTGATTTGTTTTGAGAAGAGAGAGAATGTGGAACAGCTTGCCATGCAGTCTGTGTGTCATTCAGGTCATTGCCTCGTGACATGACAGATGACCTTTGGCTTGGACCAAGCTGACCTAAACACAACAGCTAAGTGAAATCCTCTCTCTTGGTCAAGAAACGTAAAGCTCAGGAGTCTGACCCCTCTCTGTTTGCATTGATACTGGATTGAACCATTTCCTGCCACCGCCCTTCCTGGGGGAACTGAGGCCCTGTAACATCAGGAGCACAGACAGACAAGTGATTCCCAAGCTGTCACAGTAGTAACTCTGAAAACAGTCGATGCAGCTCTCAGGAGGGGCTGGGGTGAAAGACAGGGAGGAGAGATGAGTGAGCTCATTTTGCCACATTTCAAACCCACCTAGAGCATCATGGGTTCAAAAATGTGATGTGAACTTGGACACTATGGGACACATGCATAGGAGAAATTGCAAGAGGGGAGGAATAAAAAACACCACCTGCGGGTCACCCCGTCCTGCCGGCTCAGCTTCTGGGGGTTCTCCTATCCACAGTACATAGCAAATTCTACCCTTGAGAGATAATGTTTTCAAATGACTCACCCTTGGATGACTCCCCCCGCCCCGAGTTTAAAGTTAGAGGAAGAAAACATTCAGTAAGTTTGTGAACTCCAAATAGTTTTTCCAGCCCCCAAAAATGATTCAGGACTCCAAGGCCTCAAACTCCATGTGGTTCAACCAGCCCCTAGTGGTAAGTGCCTGGATCCAGGCCAGCTGCTGGCCTTGGTTTGGGATGGGAAAACACACTGTGAAATATTAGCTAAAGAGGCGTTTCTACACCAGACGACTCAGCTACTACCCAGTACTGCTCAGGTGATGGGATCCCTAGTGATGGGATCCCTAGAGAGACCTGAGATAGCGCTCTAGAGACACAGCAGAAGACTGAGCAGATGTGTGGGATGGAAGCTGCTGTAGCCCGGGAGGAGACTGGATGTGAGAGTCAGCGATGACTAAGGGAGCACCTGGGAAGTTCCTTACTTTGGTCCGCCACATTCCATTGCCGACACCTTCACCACGGGCAGCGTCTGGGTAGCCACAGGCTCTATGGTGAGTGTGTTCCGCTCCACGGCCTCCCGCACCAGCTCTGATAGCTACAGCAAGAAACACAGAACTGAATTCAGATCGGCAAAGCTCATGTCGGGTGAGGTGGCGACTGCGCCCCTCCTCAGCATCAGTACAGCCTGAATGTCTGAGCAGAACAATCCCCCAAGTCCTTGCTTCTGCTCCAGCGCTCACCTCCTGTTTGGTGAAGTCTAGACAGGGCCCCACATCTTCCCGGTAAATCCTCTCCAGGAAGGAGCAGGATTTTTCCAGAGTCGGGGATTCCTTCCAGGCCTGGAACTCGGCGAACAGGATGGAGTCAACCTGCAGCGAGTGTCAGGGGAGACAGAGGAAGAGAGAAGGTGTGGGGTTGGGGAGAGGGGGAAAGACACCACAAGAGTTAGCGCAGCTATTCCCCAACTACAAGGCTGCCTTGGAACTGCAGAGAAAAGCAGGATCGCCCCCAGGGGAACCTCTGCATCTGCCTTGTCTGCCACCCACATCACCATCTCTGTGACAGATTAACATGCCAGGTGAGGGTAGCTCAATCTGAGGCCTGTGAAATGCCCGAGTTCCCCAAGGGCAAGGCAGAGTTCCCACTGGGGGAGGCAGCCAGAGAGCGAGTGAATAGACCAAATTCCCCTCTCATCCCAGGGCTAGCCCATGATGGCAACGAAGTTCAGGACATAAAGGCAGAAACCCCTCGGAGAAAGAGGTCAATACAGCAAAGGAGTGAGTCAGGGAAAAGTTTTCAGTGAATAGCCATCACCATTTCTATCCATTTGTGTAGCAGGTGTGCTGGCCCTTTAAAGACAGGTCCAAACCCAGCAGCCTCGGAGCTGCGGCAGCCCAGAACTGAGGAATTCTGAGAGGAGCTGTTCCCAGAAGTGATGGGGATTATAGGCAGCAGGGCATGCACAGAAGGGAAAGTAGGGTATAAGAAGCAGCCTTCCTTCAGAGCACCAAATGGCTACATTTGTTATGGGTTCTCTGCAGAGAGGGAGCTTTCCAGGGCCTGGGAGCTGCTACACATATTCCCCTTTGCAGATGGGACTCAAATTCACAGCTGTGAGGGACCCACAGCAAATCTTGCCTCTTCCCTAGCCTCTCTCATTTTATATCCTGCTTCCCTGCCTGCTCCCAGCATGCCCTACAATTCCCATCAGTCCAACGCCAAATCCCAGCATGCCTCGGCTCTAGGCTGCAGCAGTGACAGGACCGTGCTGGGCCTGGCCCTATCCTTAAACAGCCAGCAGACCCTGTTATAGTTTGTTAAAGGAACATGGGGAGGGGGAGGGAGGAACAAAACAAGCCCAGCATGAAAAAAACATAAATGAACAAAGCAGCCCAGTCTGTCCTGACAGTGCACTAGCTCTATGCTATGGAGACTGCTCACCTGGTGCCAGGAGACAACTCCAGCGCCACAATATGGAAGTCAATTAGAGAAACAAAACAAAACAAAAAAAATGGATGTTAGTGTCAAAGAAAGGTAGAGCTGAAAGGCTGAAGCTGGGAGAGGCTGATGAATCCCACCCTCCGCCTAGCCTGTCCTCTGTGCCACATCTGTTCTAGCTCAGAGGTTACCTGCCGCAAGGAGGACGACGAGGAAGAGTCTCCCACCAGGGCCTGCCAGCCTGGCTCATAGGTGATGTGGATGGCCTTCCCCGGGACAATACAGAGGAGCAGAGAGAGAAGAGTGGGCACCCCAAACTTTGAAGGACGAGTGGAGAGAAGAGAGACAGACAAGGAAACAGTTCAGAGGGGCAGGCAGAGAAAGAAAGGCAAAAACGTGAGACAGACGATACAGAAAAATCGAGTTCTGCCCGTCAGCATGCCGAGTGCCTCTCAAAAGGTCCTAGGTTCTTCAGCATTTCCTTGGCCTATGATTTCAGAAGCGACCAGTGATTTGGGGTTGCTCAGTTTTTGGGTGCCCAGCTTGAGCTGCCTTAAAGAAACCCAATTTTCCCAACATGTTGCGCAACCCTGAGGCCCCATAAGTGTGTCTCAAGTCAGGCACCTAAAAACAGAGGCATTCAAATTCACTAGTCACATTTTTAAAAATGTAGGCCCTGGATTTTAGGCAGCTGGTTAGCTGCACCAATGGAAATCCCTTGTGTAGACACAGTTTACACCAGAGCAAGGGCGCAGTAGGGACCTTGCCAGGATTTGCATTTAGTGAGCAAGAAAGGGAAAATAATTACCATCTTTGGTATTCTACAAGCACCTTCCAGCCAAGAATTTCCCATTGATTACAGACCTTCGGTGACTGACCCTCGTAACTATAGCAAGCAATTGACAGCATCAGCAAACACAGCCCTTTGTTGTTTATGAACTGCACGCAAACAGAGCAGGACTTTTACAAGTTTGTCCCCAAGTCACAATTGTTCAGCTAATGCCTGGCACTGGCTGCGCTAGCTTTTCAGCTGTTCGATATCAGCAAGTCAATAGTGCAGCTACCTGACTGGACACCTGAGTCATAGGCTATTGCTTCTGGTCCCTGATTGGATCACCTTGTTTAGCAGCTCACTGGAGTTTTGATTCATGCAGGGAGAGGAGCCTCTTTCCCTATTGCCACAAGAAGGATCCTTCTATTTGGCTACATACTCGGACTTCAGATTTCAACATATCTGGGTTCTTTCTTACCTGAGCAAGAGAAAGGTAGATGTAAACCAATGAAGCAAGACTTCATGGCTATTTAACAGACCCTTCCTTTGATTCTCTCCTCATGTTCACACACAGACTGTATGTGTAATTCTAATCCCATACACGGTGATATTAGCAGCTGCTGAAGTGCAGACTGAATCCACCCATCCCTACTGCCATTCATTGAAGTCACTGTCAGACAAATGAGCCATCCGAGAGGTCAGCCCAGTCCTCTCTGGTCACCTCTTCCTGGTCTGATTAGCTGTCTCACTTCCTGGCTGCGTTCTAGGTACAAGCCAGATTGGCCAAGTGCCTCCCTGCTCTTGAAATGCTTCCATGCTGCAGACACCAATGCTCCTGGTGGTGGAGGCAAAGCACATGCAGCCCCCACTGCAACCACGTGTTTTTTCTTCCTGCTCAAATACCAAAACTTGCTTCCTCGTCCCTCCAGCTCTCACACCCACAAGGAGTTTTCCAGATGGCCGTGTAAACACTCGTGCAAAGGTGCGTTCACACAACTAGTCACAACACTGTTTGCAGAAAGATAAATTCTGGCAGACCCATGTTGTACTCACATCAGTTTTTAGGGAGACCAAATGAAAGGGGCCACAAAACTCACTGAAGGAAATTATAGGATTTTAGTTGAAACAACAGCCACAAAAGCTGTTTGTATTTATTTGCGTGGCTCTATCCAGGAGGCAGGCAATACCTGCTTTGCAGGTAGAGAAACTGAGACGTAGGGAAGAAAGGTGACTTGCCCAAGGTCACACAGTGAGGCAGTGGCAGAGCCAAGGAACAGAAAGCAGAAATTCCGACTCCCAGTCCTGGGCTCTAACCACTAGTCCACACTAGACAGATGGGAAATCAAAGCAAACAGCATTAGTCAGAGCAGCCGTTAGACTGCAGAGGCAGATCAGGAAAGCCAGTTCTCAGTAGTTGCTTACGGCCTGATGCCAGTACAGCTACGAGCCTTATCCATACAGCCAGGAAAGTCCTGCAAAGGCATGCAGGTTGTTTCCAGAGGTTCTCTCCTGAACCCAGCCTGGAGTTAATCCTGTAAGGGGAAGTCCCCACAGTCTGGGATTTTGCCAAGAAACCTCCAGCTCCCAGCACAGCAAGACTCAGAGGACTCCTAATCCACGAATGGCATTACGGTGAACATCGCTGAAACCGCGGAGCAGGGGAAAGGCTGTGGGCTCTGCAGACCTCAAGGGAATCCCTGAGAAGATCCCTCCACCAGCCCCCTCCCCAGCTCCTCCCCAGCATGTGGGCTCAAGCCCACGCAGGGCCAAGAGCTGATGTGGTGAATGGATTTCACCCACCTCTTTGCACTCGTTGCTGACCGACTCCAGGGGCAGGCTCTGGCTGGTGGCTGCGACTACTGCACTGCTGGCACTCTTGTTCCGCCCGTGCCCTTTCCTGAAGACAGCTTTGGAGGGGCTTTGGAGCTGGGGATGCAACTCCCGGTTTGGAGAGGAAGGTGTGGAAGTGATCACCAGAGTTTTCAAAGCAGTCACCTCTGCTTGCAGCATGTCGATCTGGGAGACAAGGAGAGTCAGCAACGCCACCACCTCCACCCAGCAGAGTCCCATGCACCGCACAGGGAATGCATGCTCAGGATCCCGGGGCGTCCGCACCACCCAGCCACCCACTCAGCCTAGGAGACATCTCTTGATCCATCCACAGCATCCGCCCAGCTCTTCCACCCCCTGCTCGTCCCAGAATCTCAAACCAGGGAGCAGGGTCTGTGCAGATCAGAAACAACTTGCAGAGCCTTCCCTGCCCCTCCCAATCCACATCCCCCCAATGGCTCAGGCTCTGCAGGCAGGGCATATTTAAGTCTTGTAGCCAGAGACCCCTTCCCTGATGAGGCATCAGCAGCAGATGTAGCTCCATGCCCCCTTGGTACATCCTGATCAGGGAATCCTGTCCCTAACTCCTATCTCCCCAGACTCCCTTATCCATGGTGCCTCAAAGCAGCAGCTTGTCCTGCACTAGGCAACAAACTGCAGCTAGGTGAAGCTGCTGGTCAGTTCTGTGCTTGTGGGAGCCCAGGTGAAATTCAGGGCCCTGTTTTTCACAGGAGAGTTGGATCTGCTGCTGGTTTCAATGGCACGTTTCCCCACATTCAGTAGCAGCTGTGCGGTGAGCTGAGAGACCTACTGACTGTCTAGAGGCCAGTAGTCCAGGAGGTCCCACTGGGAGGAGACTGGATGGGATGTGACCCTCAGCTACGTTGCTATCCCCCTGCCCACAGGCAGCCCTGTGTCTGTACAGCAGGGGGATGGGATTGGAGAGTCCTCACCTTTCCTCGGGCCTCCCTCAGCTGCTTCTCTGATGCAGCCTGCTTAGTGTTTGCATCTCTTACCATCTTGTGTGCTTCCTGCGGCAGAGGGAGAACGTGTTACCTCCTACTCATCGCAGCCAGAGTCCCAGCTACACACAGCCCCTGCGATGAGCAAACCCACAAAGCCAAGCAATACATTCTACCCTGCACCCTGGCATTTTACATGCAGCTCAGCAGTTCTCCTGGGGGGCAGGGTACTCAAGGGTCCCCCTAGCGAGTGTGGCAGCCTTCCCAAGGACAGCGGGGAGCTCAGAGCACAGTGCCCCCGGCGCAGGCCTGTCTCCAACTGGCACAATAAGGCCCTAACCTTCCTCTGTCCAGTGCTAGGCATTTGAGTGTCCTGGGCTGCTGGAAGACAGGATTTTACTGGCCTGTGAACTCATCATGAGCCATGGCACAAGAACGTGGGTCCTTTCATTGTGCACCCTCTCCAGCAGAATGCAGTAAAGCAGCTCCCAGGGGTGGTGCACTGAGGGCATTGTGGTGCCTCTCTCCAGGCAAGGGCTGGGTGCTGGCATCTGGGAGAGGGTTGGGGAGCAGCAGGCAGCCTGTAGAATGGGCCACATGAGAACAGCTGCAGCAAGCCCAGGGCACAGCTAGGGCACCAGCGAAAGGGCTAAACTGCCTAGCTTCAGCAGCAACAGAAGCAACAGTCGAATAAACCAGCTGCTTTGGGGGGAGCAGGACACAAACACCCAGACTTTCCTAGACTAGATCCTGCCTCAGACACCGCTGGCTGAAAACCGAAGTGTAACGAATACACGTGCTGCTTCATGTTTCCTGCCAGAGCGGCTGGGGTGCCTGGAGGTGGAGTGGGGGAAGGGAGAACGCCTGTTCCCCATGCCAGTGCCCTGCATGCTGCCCCTCCCCATTAACACAGGTGCCAGCTTGCACCATGCTCTGCCATCCTGCATATGCAATCGGCCAGCTCTACTGTTCAGACTGGGAAGGGCTAGCCATAGATGCCCGAAACCCCGAGGCGTGGGCAAAGTGAGGAGAGAGCCTGTCCCAAGGGGGACAGTGAGTGATCTCTGTTTAGGGAGTAACTGGGGAAGGGGGAGGGAAGTGGTACCTCGAACAGACTGGCTGTCAGCTCCTCCAGCTCCTGCTCCAGCTGCTCTCTGACCTTTGACAGCCTCTCACATTCCTCATCCTTCAGCTTCAGCTCCTGCAGAGGGGAAGCCCGGGGACTTCGGCATGCTGGACAGAAGCACATGCCAGGCCCCAGTACGCTCTGCAGACAGCACCACCCCCTTCCACCTGCCTCATTCTCTCCCGCTGCATCCTGCTGCCCCCTCCCGCTCTGCACACAGTGACGCTACCCCTCCCCCTGCCCCACATCTGTGCGGATTCCAGCCCCACCTTCCCCACTCACCCCCAACCACTCCAGACGCTCACTCTGGGCTCATTGTTAGTACCCTAACAGGGTGTGCTCCCACCTTCCAGCCCATGGAAACTCCTGCTCCGTCTACCCTTTTCACTCTTCAATTCCCGGTCTGTGCCCCCGTCCCATGGTGTGCTTGTCCCCCCCCATATACACACCCGCGCCCAAGGCTTTACCTTCTGGGCTCTGTGGAGCTCCTCCTTCAGGAACTCGGATCCCTTCTCACGGATCTCCACCGAGGAGCTGCGCAGGCGGGAGACATTGAGCTGCGCTGTGGATTGGCCGTCATCTCCCCCACCTGCCTCCCTGCAGCGTGGTTCCAACTGTGGCAGCTCCTTCCCACCGCTGGATGATGCCAGCGGCTTCCACTGTCCCACCGCCGGTTGCTTCTGGAGCTGCTGGCTGCCTTCCTTGAACGGGGCTTGGCTGGGGGACACAAGCATGTGAAACATGAGCCAAGGGTCAGAGATCCAGGGTGTGGACAGCGCCAGGATCCAAGCACCTTATGGCCCCACCCAGTTCTCATCATTTAAGGGGTTCTCCATAGAAAGCTCTCCCCACAGTGGAAATGAGCCTTCGGCTAATGGCCAGCACTGAGAGGGATTGCGATACCCAGGGAATGATAATGCTGGAGGAAGAGTGTATAGGTCTCAGGAGCGTGGAAGGGTAAGGGGGCGACATGGGGTGGATGTGCCACTTGAGACAAGAACACAGAGCAGGCTAATCTGCAGCTCAGGTTATAAGATCACTGCAGAGTTGAGGGGTCTCCAACAGCATTTGCAGGCCGGCTGGATCGTGTCATGCTGGTGTCTCGCCCCACTGCGCGCACGGCTCTTCCCCTGGCTTGGTGATCCACAGAGGAGATCGACAGTGCTGGACAGACCAGGGCAGCACACATATCTGCCCTGCTGCCCTACGGGAACAGGACAACCATGCAAGATGTTAATTGCAGACAGGTCGAAGGGCTGAGAGGGCGTTAACGGCAGGGGTCAGCCTCATCCCAAAACAGCCAAGGGACTGCTGGGGCTCCATTCTTAAGGGACCTGTAGCTCAGGGGCTAATCCACCACTCCAGAAACTGAATCCACCTCTCTAGAGGCAAGATCAGGAAGGGGACGCAACTCACAGGCTTCATCTCTCACCATTCCAATTCCAGGTGCCCTGGCATTTGGGGAAGAAGCACAGACTCCCACAGTGCCAGAGTCTCTCTAAAGAGTGCTGAGGGATAACGCAAGGGGCATCAGGCAGGATTAGCTCAGAGGAGCTGCTTTTGCTCTGTGGGTGGCAGCGCTGGGTTCACTCTCCCTCGATGAAGGGCCTTCTAGGAAGGGAAAACCCTAAACAAGCCACTTCCCCCCATTCAGCTCTTCGAACAAGGACCGGGACAGAATCACCAGGGCACACACTGGGTGCAGGAGCCCATTATAAGGGCCAGGTTATTGTCAAAGGGAGATTAGGGTTAATGCAAGGGAAGGGATGGCAGAGAGGCCACCCCACCCTCTGTATCTGTGCTGTCACTCTGCCCTCAGCTGGCACCCAGCCAGGGAGAACTGAACAGCCCAGGGAGAGATCACAGTTCCTTGGGAGGAATAAAAGCAGAGGTGCCATTTAGAGGGTGGGGCTCCTCCCCCACCCCAAGTTTCGTACAGGAGATGAGCTCCCATGCAGAGCTCTTAAGGGCAGCACAGCCCGAGTGTGGAATGTGAGTTCTGCAGAGGAGACCTGCTGCTCCAAGCTTGTGGCCCTGGGGCAGAGAGTCAGTATTTTGTTTACAAACAGAGGCAGAGTGATTAAGATAAGAAAGGGCTGGTAATTAAATTAAGGATCTGGAAGTCATTAGATGGGCCTGTAAAACAGAAATCCCTCTGCAGGGGGTGGCGGGTGTTGCAGGGGATGCAGAAGAAATACAGCCAAGCCTTCTGAGCCAAGGTTACATTCAGAAAAGTGGGAGACTTGGGGGGCGCACTTGAAAAGAAGGGGCCAAAACCCAGGGAAGGGATAGCCGTGGTATAGAGAAGTTCCCACTCTACCTGTGGTACTTATGTGGCCCCATTACCATAGTATCTGAGCGCCTCAAAATGTCTAACCTATTTCTCCTCACAGCCCCTCAGTGAGGTAGAGCCATGTTGTTATCCCCATTGTACAGATGGGGCACTGAGGCACAGAGAGACTAGAGGCTAGATTTTCAAAGGTATTTAGGCACCTAGTGGGATTTTCAAAAGCACCTAGAAGGTTAAGTGCTTTGTAAACCCCATTAAATGCCTAGCTGCATCTTTGGATGCCTAAAAACCTTTGAATCTCTGTCCCTAAGGCATACAGGAAGTCCATGGGGGAAGTAGAACCCAGGTCTCTCAGGGCTAGTTCCTTATCCACTGGACCAGCCTCTCTCTCCGCTATATGCTGCAAAAAAAAAAAAGAAAGGAGGATTCTGATAGATGGGAGCAAAATCAAGAAGGCCAGTTCTCTGAGACTCCAGCAAACGGTCCGAGGCAATTGGGAAAGATATCATGGTTGACAGCATGAAAAGCAGCACAGAGGGCAGGAAGGATGAAGAAAGAAAGAGAGGGAGAATAAGAGTCAGATGAGAGAAGATCGCTTAAGCCCCAAGGGGTGGCAGGTTCTGCCCCACGCTAGGCTGTAGAGCACTGGCTGCTGTGCAATTTTACATTTTAATTGAAAATCATTTTATCATTTTTTGTTCTGAGTTTGAGAAAAGGAAGGAATGAGAAACTGCCGTATGAGTATCAGATGAGTTTATGCCTCAAATTCTTAGGGTTTCAGCTATATCCAGGCCAATTCCAGAACAAAGAACAGAAATTGCATCCAAAGAGTCCATAGAGTCGACGATTATTGTCATGATTTGCATTATTCACTGGGCACCATCTGTGTGCTCAGCAGAATATGCCAGGAAATGTAGTCCCTGAGTTAATGTGTATAAAATGTGTAGCCCTGGATAAGATGGCTCAGATATTTAAGTATGAAGTGTATAGTTACTGAGCATCCGATGAAGTGAGCTGTAGCTCACGAAAGCTTATGTTCAAATAAACTGGTTAGTCTCTAAGGTGCCACAAGTCCTCCTTTTATTTTAATATCTATGAGTGAAGATGCTGACTGCAACAGAAGTTTTACTTGATTAAGGACTAGAAGATTTGACCCTCCAACTTTCTTTCAAGAGGAAGAGCTGCCCAGAACTCCTCTGCCTGTTTATTTTTCTTTCCTGCCTGCAGTGGCCCTGATAGACCTCAGAAGTCTCAAATTTTTTCTCAACTTTAAAATGTGGCATTTTCTTGGTGTTTGGTTTTAAATAGTCTCCTGTGAAAACTTCAACGCAATCACTGTAGTGTTGTGCTTAAGAGCCTTCTGGAAAGTAACTAGCCTTTAAACTGAAATCACAGAGTCGCCAACTCTCATGATTTTGTCATGAGTCTCATGATAATTATTGTTTTCCTTAAAGCCCCAAATGCTGGAATCAAGTGGATATGTGATGATTTCAGCCTTCATTCTTAAAAAAAAAGAAGAAGAAGTTTCAAGCCCTAGGGGCTGTGGAGAAAGCTTAAAAATGTGACCCCAGTGCACCCTAAAGGCTTGAAAAGCAGAAGGCAAAGAAAAAGAACACCAAATCTATTATTTTTACATAATCTCATGAGTTTAAAGCCCATCTTGTGATTTTTGGTGAGCCTAATTCATGATTTTTGAATGTATGTGGTTGGCAATACTGTGAAAGTGACTTGAAAGTGTCAGTTTCATTCCTGTTTAAAAGTCAGTTTCTAGTCTATTATCTGTAGTGGGGAAACACCCCTAGAGCCCCAGGCAGGTGCAGTATAAACTCACGGGGCCTTGCCCCAATAGGATGTTTCCAAATGTTAAATGATCTATTCCAAGCTTGGCAAACTGCTAAAAAGTGATAGAAAGTCACCTAGACTTTTCTACAATTGTTGTATTCAATAGTTCGTAACAAAGTAAGAATATACATTAAATTTTTAAACCTAACCAGTGTCCCTTAAGTGACTTGACACAAGATGTCAGAACATGTTAGTTTGAGAGCTGAGTGGTTCTAATATTTATTTAATTTTCTTTCTTTATATAGGAATTAGATACGGTGCTCCTGTAAGATATTTCTAAGTTATTAGCTGCAAAACAACTCGAGTCTTCAGGTGCCTACATAGTCCCTGGAATCACGCTTAAAGTTGCCTTCCCCCTCCCCCCCAAATCTGAAATGACGCTCGTGAATAAAAGCCTCCGTTATTCACAGCAAGGGAATTTTCCAAACCCAGACTCAGCCCAGCTGAACCCTTGGGGAAACAGAGATTGGAAAGAGAAGCTGTGTGTATTAGCAAGTCATGAACCACCAGGGCCAGAGGGTGAGATACACTGAGGCAAAGTTCCCAACTAAGACACAATGCAGGTTGCTTTAAAATGACATGAGCAATGCGTCCTTACAAGGGGAAAGACGGTCCTGTGGTTGGAGACTGGGCTGGGAGTCTGAGGATCTAATCCCAGCCCCATCCCTGATTTACTGAGTGGCTTTGGGCAACTCACTTCACCCCTTCGTGCCTCAGTTTCCCTATCTTTAAAATGCAGGTAATTTACACCTCTAGCTGACATGGGTGTTGCAAAGATAATTAACTCATTCATGTCTGTACAGCACTTTGAGAACACTGACTATGTCTAAGCGCTAAATTACAGTCCCGGCTACATTTTTATATGAAATAAGACCCCACAAGAGAGAGTTGTGGTCTCTTTTCAAAGCCTTGGCCTTGATTTTTAAGGTCTCACCTGCAAGATCCACATGTGGAGTGAACTGCACAGAGCTCCCATTACCTCACTCTGAGGGACAAAGAACAAAGCTGACAACAGCAGGACTCAGTCCTGTGACTCCAGGGAGCCCTGGTGTTTGTGAAATGGCCTCTGCCCTGCCCCCAAACCCAGCACCATGATCCAGGATTTCTGATGGACATAATTTAAGTGAGACACCAGCAGGTCTGTGTGGTATACAAGCAAATACACAGTGGGCCTAAAGTTAAGGGCATTGGATCCAAAATTTCATTGTGGCAAGTGAACCCTCACCCCCTTTCACCGCAGACCCGCATTTCCCACACACACACACACACAGCAACCACCCCCAACTGAGGAGGAGCAGGCTCTATTTTTAACCAAATATTTACCACCCTCAGTCCAGTGCATTCCCATTGAGCAGGTTCCTATTTGTCTTCTTTATTGGTTTCAGAGGCTGGCACGTACATCCACAGCAGAAACGGGGCCCGGATGCCAAGTTGAGCTCCTGCTGAAGAGACACCTCCAGGAGGCTCCTCTCTGAGGCTCAGCGGCTTTTTGTCAGGAGCTTGCCTCGGGCTCCAGAGGCAATATCCTTGTTTAGCTTCTGAGCTGGTGGGGGAAGAGGGGCTCTGGCAGCAGGGGATGTGCAGAGTTGGGGATTCCCAAGGGACTTGGATCGGGGTGACTCCAGTGTTGCCAGGGGAAGGCGAGGGAAATGCTTCAGCAGGGTCAGAACCCAGCTGTCGGGAGACGTCAGTGTGTGGCGAGAGATCAGTGTGACGTGATCGTTCCCCTCTATTCGACATTGGTGAGGCCTCATCTGGAGTACTGTGTCCAGTTTTGGGCCCCACACTTCAAGAAGGATGTGGATAAATTGGAGAGAGTCCAGCGAAGGGCAACAAAAATGATTAGGGGTCTGGAACACATGACTTATGAGGAGAGGCTGAGGGAGCTGGGATTGTTTAGCCTGCAGAAGAGAAGAATGAGGGGGGATTTGATAGCTGCTTTCAACTACCTGAAAGGGGGTTCCAAAGAGGATGGCTCTAGACTGTTCTCAATGGTAGCAGATGACAGAACGAGGAGTAATGGTCTCAAGCTGCAGTGGGGGAGGTTTAGATTGGATATTAGGAAAAACTTTTTCACTAAGAGGGTGGTGAAACACTGGAATGCGTTACCTAGGGAGGTGGTAGAATCTCCTTCCTTAGAGGTTTTTAAGGTCAGGCTTGACAAAGCCCTGGCTGGGATGATTTAACTGGGAATTGGTCCTGCTTCGAGCAGGGGGTTGGACTAGATGACCTTCTGGGGTCCCTTCCAACCCTTATATTCTATGATTCTATGATTCCTTGGGGAGCAGGGGAACGTGCACAGCTCTAAAGGGGAACCCGTCAGGGATCTTCAACAGGGAAAGCTGCAACCCACTACTGCTGTCAGACAATATGGCCACAAATACAATGTGCCATCAGAGGTCAAGATGGCTTCCAAGGGCACTGACGCAGCCAACCCCGGCGTCAATCAATAATCGTCAGTAGCCCCTTGTGGAGGCTTTGTCCTCCTCAGAGCTGGACGTGGGTAATATCAGCCTCACATTTGATCGGTGCTCTGCTGTGCCAGTCCACGGCTGTTCATCATGGAAGGGGGCAACAGAGGTGAGGATAATGGGGAGGTGGAGTAGCCTAGGGGGTGGATTTGGAGCAGGATCCAAATGCAAGAGCCAAAAGGAAGGTAAAGAGGCAAAGCAAAATCAGGAGAGAGAATAAAGAGAAGACAGAAAAAGAGAGAGGCAGAGAGAAGGGAAAAGGTCAGATGAGACGAGGCCCAACAGATCACAATTGCTCTAGGATAGAAGACAGCAAAGGACAAGCAGCAGCCAATGCAATTCAGAGACCCTGGTTAAAGGAGGAGAGGCGTGGTGCAGGGAAATGGGCGTAGAGAGTGGGAGGAAAAGATAAGAGCAGCAACTAATCCAAAAGCACAGGGAATGAATGCTGTTGGCGGTTAAAGGTGTATTGCACAGGGCCTGCGCCATTGACTTCTAAAGGAGCAGGATTGAGGCCACAGAAGCTTCTTTACTGGGGAGAAAGGGAAGGGCATTAATAAATGAGGAGGAGGCTAAAATGAATTATTAAAACCAAAAGGCTGAGAAGCCAAATTCCTCTTTAAAAGTTTGCATTAAGGAAGAAAACCAGGAGAAAGGTTAGGCTGATTAGGCTGTGATGAAGATCCTATGGTGATTATTGTTTATATAGCACCATGGGCCTGATCCAAAGCTTCCTAAAGCACACAGAAAGACTCTCAGTGACTTCAGTAGGCATTGGATCCAGGCCCAAGTGAGCTAGGTTCTTCACATGCAGGTTTGAAGACAAGATCCCAGCTCTCAACTGTAGGTAAGACGCAGATAAATAATTGGTAGGTGGGGGCAGGGGGTGACAGGGAAGAGGGGCAGAATGTATCAGGACAGTTTGTATGGATGAATTCCAGGGTGCTAACAGAACTAGATAACAACTGGAAATTATATTTGAGAAATCATGGGAGAACTGGAAGAGATACCATAGAATTGAATGGGGAAGCAAATGTGGTACCCATCTTCTAAAAAGTAAGAAAGTGTGATCCTGGTCATTGCTATCTGATAAATCCAGCCTATGTGCCATATAAAATAACACAAAAAATACGCAGAGAAAGAAGTCTTTACGCATCTATAGGATAATGGGAATGGGTTATTAAGAATAAATCATTCCAAGCAAACTGGATGGCACTTTTGATTGAATTACAAAACCAGGAGGAAGGCAGAATGTATAGCTGGGCTTTAGCAAAGCATTTGATGAGAATGTCACACAAAACGTTACAAGGCAGATCTCATTCCAGTTGGCTTGAACAGCAAAGTGCTGTCACATGGGTTGAATGAAAAGTGGCTGAAGGACCATAAACAAGGTGTAGTGAATGATAAATGGCAGCTTAGCAAGAGGGATTGGTGTCCAGAGGAACATTACAGAGATCGGCATGTGCGGCACGATTTTACTGAACAACCTCATTAACGCTCTGGAAGGGGAGGGAAGCCGCCCACTAATTTAACGTGCAGATTATACTAAATTGGGAAGTGCTGAAAACAGCAGCAAGTGAAGAAGTGTGTGGGGAAAGAATGGGCAAGAAATTAAATGAGCTTCTGCCAGAAAAAATGAAAGTTAATACTACGGAGCAAAAGTAATCCATACAGAGATACTCAACGGGTCGGAGGCACTAGGGAAGCAGCAACACACTTTGGGGCCCTGCTCCAAAGCCCACTGAAGTCGACAAGACTCTTTCCATTGCAAACCCATAGCAAACGCCAACCTAGAGAGAAGCGCACAATGCGATGCAAGCAAAAATAGGCAACTACAGTCTGGGAGTGCACAAATAGAAATACTGCATGACCAACCAGCAAGGTGACGGTTCGACGGTTCTCCCTACATTGTGCTGGCCAGACCACACCAAGTCTGTATTATATTCAGCTCTGGGCTGCTCAAATCCCATGTTGGCAAATCAGAGAGTATTCAGAAGACAGCAAGAGAAATAATTAATGGTTTGGCTGCATTAATGTATAAGAGAAGATTAGCAAACATAAATATGTATAATTTGCCTAAATAATGACAAGGAAAATGGGATTGAGAGTCTTTGAAGGGTATAAACACCAAGGAAGGAATTAGTCAGGGTGATCTAACAGGGTATGACTAGGAGGAAAGGGATGAAGCTAATCAAAGGAACATTTAAACTGTTTGAGACAAACCCACAGCAGCATACCGCTGTAGAAATCAATGGAGCTGCACCAAAGATAAATATGGCACAAAGCAGGAAAGGGAGAGAGGGAGATCTATTCGGCTATTAACATCTCCAGTAAATGATGGGGTGGAATTCAAAAATTTTAAATTAGATTGGATAGAGTCCCGAAGAATATATTGCCAGAACAATCCTTCACCAGTCAGGAAATGAACTAGAGGGGACCTAATAGGTCTTTTCATATAAGCCTCCACCTTTGCTTTTCTTTGTTTCTCCTTTTCATAGGATGGAGGAAAAGCTAATTCAGAGACAAATGAAGCGAGGGAAGAATTACAGGGGAAGCAGCAAGTAACAACGGTGGACCTAACGGTGATTCACTTAATGTGTTCCCAGTGACAGCTATATGAGGGACACCTTAGCTGAGAGGTGAGCAGTCAACATGAGTATTTTTTTTAGTAACCCACTAGACAACAGCTACATCCAGATACTCTGCAGCTAATGGTACAAGAAAGGTTGTCTGGCATTGTTCTATGGACAGGATACCACACTTGTAAAATCATGTTAGGGAACTAAGTTCCAGCCCAGGTCATAGCAAGCCCTGTGGTGCCATGTTTCACCAGGGGTCTCAGAGTTCTTTACCAACTTTAACTAAATAACCCTCACACCATCCCAGAGGTAGGTATTATAGCCCCCATGCTACAGACAGGGAGACTGAGGCACAGAGAGGGTAACTGGCTTCCTCCAAGTCACACAGTGACTCAGTGGCAAAGCAAGGACTAGGACTCAAGGCACCCGAGTACCAGAGCCTATTTGCTGACTACAAGGCTGTTGCTGTATTAACAACCACATCTAGCGGCCACGTCATGCTTTGTCTCAGAGGGTATCACAGGAGGGTAAGAACCCAGGTCTTGTGATTCCCGGTCTTGAGTTCTGACTGCTAAGCCATGCTGCCTCCCTTGCACTTTATACCTAAACACGACTCCCAAGCAACAATTCCAGCGATGCAATGCCAGGGTGCAGAGCTCTAGGCTCTAGCTTCCAGCCCCAGGCCTGCTAGTCTGGATAGCACAGGGCTGACTATCCAGGAATAGGGGGCAGACTTTGTGACCAGTCAGCCCCCCGGCTCCCCTACAAGCAATTTGGACAGGTGTTAAACAAAGGAAACATGAGTCTCTCCTCTGAGGGCAGGTGCCACATTGCCCATGGGCCAACAATGAGAAGGGATTGGGAGAATCCCTCCCTACCTAGCCTGCAAAGTAGGGAATGAACAAACCAGCGTCATGATGGACATTTTTAGTCCTGCCTACACTATAACCACATTGCTGAGGAACCCTGCAATCCCCTAACTCAGTTTGACCCTAGCTCCACTGCAAGAAGGATCAGTACGCTCCCCATGTCGTGGGACAACCCTGCTGTAACTAGTCCCCCAGCACAGCCGTTGCTACAGTGTAGACGGGATCTTGAAGTACCCAGGCGACTCGGCAGTCAAGCCTTGATCTATATTGCCCTGATGGGGCTTTGAAACCAACATTTCACTGAGACCGAGAAGGTGATGGAGGTTCAGTCCTTTTGCTGTTGCTATTGTCAGTCTGGCTGGAGCCTGTGCTCTGTAGGATGGTGGGGGGTGTTTTGAAGGCTCTTCTCAATAGGAAACACTAGCTAGAAACTTTTTTTTTTTTTGGTTGGATTATATAGAAAAAAAGAGAAAAATGTGCAGGATCCACACTTTTTCCAGCAGGCCCCACTCGTTTCCTGTGGCGCTGATCTGACAGTTATTTCCTGTACAAACTGCCTGCGCGTCTCTCTGGCTAAACTCTGCATTTGAGTTCACAAGGGGATCCTGGCTCTTCTATTCGGATCTCCTGCCACGGAGCAGCCTGAAATCCACACATGCAGAGACAGCAGGAGGCAGGATTCACTGTGCGGTTCGAAAGTAGAGTGTTGTCCATACTGATTTAGCACTGTGCAGCCAACCAGTCTCCACGTACATCCTCGACACACACCTGCCTCACCGGACTTGCTCAGGTACTCAGTAACACACCTCTGAAAGGCATATGCCCTGCCACAACAATAGATGCTATACTGTAGCATGCAGTTCATCTTTCTCATATTTGCTTTACAGGCAGCAAAGAGCCGGGAAGCAGGCTGGGGTGTTCGGTATACGCTGATAGTTAAGTAGCATCCAGTATTTCTATATGCAAGATGCCACACATAAATATACTCTATTGACACTTTATTGTGGTACATTGCCTTATTCAAAGTTTATGTTCAAAGTTTATACACACACTCCACACGCACTTTAGAAGAGATCAGACCTTGAAAAATTCAACCCACGTGCTGACAGTTATTAGAAACTCAAAACCAGTGGTTAGATTGGAAACACTTGGGCAACCTGAACTAGAACTGTTCCTGAAGATGCCACTATTAGCGATGGTGTAGTTTTAGTTGCTTGGAAGCTGTAAAGTCCCCCATATTTTACTCTTTCCGGGGCAAGCGTACTACACACACACGCCACATTAACTTGCCCAGAGGCCATGAGCGAACAATGCAGTGTCTGTAGATCACACTTTAAAAAACAAAAACAAAACCAGGGGCAGTTTTCATATTAGGAAACTATTTCCTCGTTAGGTGCCCAATCCTGCTCCCACTGGAGTCAGTGGAAATGCTGACAGTGACTTCAGCAGGATTCAGAATCGGACCCAAAATTCCAAGGATGACTCTTCTCCCCACCATCTCATCTCCTTTTCTCATCACCATTAACTCTCTCTCAACCCTTCAGTGTTAACCCTGTCTCTTTGCTGTTTAGCGCTCTCTCTCCCCCACGTTTCTCTTTATTCCTGTGGCCCATCAGTTTCTCATCTCTCTTGTCCCTCACGTTCTTCTGTTCACACTGGTAGCTTTCCCCTGCTTCGTGGATTTTGCCTTGCCCCTTTCCCAGCCTCTCATGCAGACACATCACTGTGCAGCTAAAGAGCAGTTTCTGAGGGAGAAAATAATCTCTAGTGAATAAACACGGTTTCCACGTGGAAGAAGAAGAAACTACAGAGGGCATATCTCTCTCTATGCTGCCTGCACAATTCATTTTGACACGCTGGCTGCTCCTTGGGGCCCGGGGCACAGTCGAAGGTAGCAGTGACCTCAGGAGAATGCAGCCTCCTGGATTTGCGGTTCTAGAAACTTTATGAACACTGCAGAAACTAAGGTCAGGTCACCCCCTGCTCCTCCTCTGCTGTTCTAACATGCTCCCTACTTTGGGTCTGAGCAGGTCTAAACCTTTACAGACTCCAAGGTAAACAGACCCCCCGCCCACACAATCAAAAGTCTCTGCCATCCATCCATCCCTCTTTGCACACGCACACAGACAGGGGATGGGATAGATAACACAGGAAAGTGGGTCCCTGGGATCACAGTCCCAGGGACAAGAAGTTGGGGGGAGTAAGAAGCCTCCTTCCTTCCTTCCTTCCCAAAAGGCAGGCTGTCCCCAGAAGGGATCGCACAACCCCACAGCGCTCCCATTCAAGCACTGACGGAGCCATAACCAGCTGCTCCGGAACAGACCCTGAGCATTCATTCAGCACCAACATCCAAACTCTGAGCCAAAGGACCAGCGCTAGTGACGCAGAGCCAGGCACCCAACGACCCCATCGGGTGTTTCTCCCCCGGCACCTGCCCAGGGCCGTTCGCTCGTCCTCAGAGACTTTCCGCTCCTCCTTTTCAGACCTTTTGCAAGTTTCACTCCTTCCCACCGGGCTAGGAAGGAAAGGTGACCCCTGAGCGCTCCACCCCCCAGCCTGGGGCCCCCACAGCAGGCGCCCTTTGGAGCAGGGCTGGGGCACTGGAATAATTTGTACAGTGAGGGTGCGAAGAGCCATTGAACCAAACTGTAAACCCTGCATGGGGTGGAAACCGCTTCCAGCCAGGGGGTGCGGCAGCACCTCCAGATCCAGCGCGTATGAGCAGGGACCAGGAGCACCCAGGGGTGCACGCCCCAGAGAGAGCCGCAGGCGGAGCAGGAGGCCACCGCAGGCTCAGGGAGAGGCATCCCCGGTGCGGGTCCCACTGCGGCCAGAGGGGACAAGCCGCACCCCGGACGCGCTCGGGGGAAGGGGGCTCCGTTCCCCCGCTCCCCTCCCGAGAAAGAGGGGGCCGGGGCGCAGGAAAGTTTTGTAGGCGGGGAGGGAGGAAGCCGGCTCCAGACCTACCCGCTCCACATGCTGGCTCCGGCTCCGGCCCCTGCCCCGCGCCGCCCGCGGCCCCTCACGCCGGGCGCGCTGCTGCCGCCATCCCTGCGCCGGGCTGGGGGCCAGCGGCGACGGCCCGGCCCCGCGCTGCAGCCGGGCGCTGCGGCAATCCCGGGAACCCCAGCCCGCCGCGCGCCGCCGCTCCAGCCTGGCTCCGCCGCCGGGGGGTGGCGGGGAGGGGATTGGAGGTCACATGACCTCTGGGCGGCTCCAATTGCAGCGTGCACGTCCCCCTCCCCGAGCCTCATGTGACTGAGAATTCAGCCGCGAGCCCGGGGCTCTCCCCCAGGCTCGCCTGTCATCCACGCGCCGGGCATCCTGCAGCTCCCCTGCACAGACACTGACGGTGCGTTCAGCGCAGCCTCCCCCCCCCACACACACACACACGCTGCATCGCAGGGACCCCCAGTCTCAAAAATCACTGCGACAGTCGTGCCTGGAGACTGAGATCTGCCCGTGGAAGATGGAGGAGAAAGGTCCCTGCCCCCCAATTGTATGGGCTGGCTTCAAAATTCACCAGGAAGGGTCTCTGCTTTCCTTTCCCTGCACCCAGCACAGACGCTGACAGCGCAGATTGTTTCCTCGGGCTCCCTGAAGAGAGGGATGCTAATGAGGAAGATCAATGGGGAGGCCTGGCTGACAGCATCCTGGGCATTTTGAGTTCATCCAGAGGTGCTGGTGGTGGGGGTGCTACCGCACCCCCTGGCTCGAAGCGGTTTCCGTCCTACACAGGGTTTACAGTTTGGTTCAATGGCTCTCAGCACCCCCCCTATACAAATTGCTCCAGCACCCCTGGCTTCATCTGTGTGCTCTGGGGTAAACCATGAGACTGAATAATGCTGATGCTTTGTTCAGGGAAATGCAAATGGCAGGCATTAAAGCAGAATTGTGTGGGTCTTTCCCCCCATCCCAGTTTAGGACTCAATTCTGTGGCTAATCTGTGCATGACACCTCCATTGACCTCCGTGTATTATGCAAGGAAAGCATCTGCCCATAACTGCAGGATGATAATTACATTATAGAGTTATTGTATTTCTTAATGTCTCAGGTTTCTCTACACCCATTGTAAGGGCCGAATTGGACAGTTTAGTAGCCCAAGAATCTAGTCTACACAATCTACACTTTCCAGACCTAGAGATATGACCCCCCGAAGGGTCAGTCCAGCTCCTCCTCCCTGAGCTGAATTCCATGGAGTTTAGTGTCTTTAAGAGGAAACTTTAAAAACCAAGAGCTTGTCTGGGTTGGATGGACAGTCAAAGCCCTGTGGCGTAGCTGATTCCCCTTACAGACCAACAGCAGACTTTGTACTCAGGGTCCTTCAGCACTAAAAGCATGAGCGAATGCTTGAGCAAAAGGACTATCAGGCAGGCAGGCAGGCAGTCTCTCTGTCTGGCTGTGGTACTTATATGACCCCCAACACCGTAGCAAAGGAGCACCTCACCATCTTTAATATATTTATCCTCACAACACCACTGTGAGTTAATGTAGTGTTGTTATCACCATCGTACAGATGGGGAACTGAAGTACAGAGGCTATGTCTACAGGGCAAAACAAAACAGCAATCGAGACTCTCAGACTTGGGCTCACACTACTGGAGCTAAAATAGCTGTGTGGCCATTCCAGCTGGGAAACCCACCCCTCCCCACCCAGGCCTCAGAGTCCAGGCCCAAGCGTCTACACTAGGGGTTCTCAAACTGGGGGTCGGGACCCCTCAGGGGGTCACGAGGTTATTACACGAGGGGTCGCGAGCTGTCAGCCTCCACCCCAAACCCCGCTTTGCCTCCAGCATTTATAATGGTGTTAAATACGTAAAAAAGTGTTTTTAATTTATAAAGGGGGTTGCACACAGAGGCTTGCTCTGTGAAAGGCGTCACCAGTACAAAAGTTTGAGAACCACTGGTCTACATGGCTGTTTTTAGCACCCTTGCGCAAGCTTTGTGAGCTCAAGTCTGCAGACCCAGGCTCTAAGACTCACTGCCAGAGGTGGTTTTGTTTTGTTTTGTTTTGGGGGGAAAGGGTTGTGCTACATACAGATCCTCAGAAAGACTATGTGACTTGCCCAAGCTCATACAGGATGCCTGTGGCACAGCAGAAATTGATTCCAGCTCTCCCACAGCCCAGGATAATGCTCCAACCATTAGGCCATCCTTCCTCCCAGTGGCTGGTGATTATGTACTGTAGCTCACTCAGGGAGAGAGGTATAACACACAGATCAGTAGGTGATACTGGCACTGTTGTAAGCAGGAGGTAGGTGATTCATGTCCTTGATCAAATTTCCCACTATTGTTGCATTGGGTGCTACCCTCCCATCCCAGTGGGGACTGAAACATTTCTGCTTGCCTGAAGGACTGTTCCTGCAGTCCTCACTTAGGCAGAATTACCATGCACCCTATGACATGGCAAGGTGAAGAGGGAATCAGGGTTTATGTTTATGCCATTATAAGTGGGTCGGCTCCTATAAGCCTGTGAAGCCAGTATTTGTATTTAAAGTCTGGAAGATTATTTAAATTTTGTTTAAATTAAGTTGTTGCCTAGGTACTACAAGCAACATCACTGTATATATACACATTATAAAGTGTATTACAACCAAATTCGGGGCCCCATTGTGCTATGCACTGTACAAACACATAGCAAAAGGCAAGCCCTACTACAAGAAGCTTGCAATTTGAATAGACAAGACACACAGGCAGAGCTATCATCCTCATTTTACAGATGGAAAACTGAGGCACAGACAGATTAAGTGTTTTGTCCCGAGGTCACACAGGGTCTGTGGCAGAACCCGGCACTTAATCCAGATCTCCTGAATCCCAGTATAGTGCATTAACCACAACTCCATCATCACTCAAACACCCAAGATAGGTTAGTTAGCTCTGTAGAAACAGATCTGTCCTAAGCTGGAGAAGAGGGCATTGATTGCCCAGGGGAAGGAGTGCAATGTTGTCAACTCTTGCAATTTTATCATGAGTCTTGCAATATTTGGTGTTTTTCCTAAAGCTCCAGCTGCTGGAATCAAGAGATTTCCATGAGACTCTTGGTTCTCATATAAAATAATGAGTAAATTCCTAGCCCTGAAACAAAAAAAACTCTTGAAAAGGAAAAGTGAGTGCACCCTATAGGCCCAGAAGACAAGTAGACACCCCACACACACACACGTTTATTACTGTTTTTTAAAAAGAGTGTTTTTAAACCAATCTCCTGATTTTTGGGGTCCTGGCTCATGATGTCTGAATGTTTGGGGTTGCCATTACTAGGACTAGTGAAAGAACAGTGCCTTCTCCTATAGCCAAGATCTGCAGAAGTTCAGATGGTTCCTGTTCTGCCATGGAAGCAGTTTTGCAAGAGTGGACCCTGCTGCTAGTGAAGGGGCCTAGAGATTAAAATAGCATATGGCTGGGAATTTAAATTGGCACCAGCAAGTGCAACCTCGCCCCTTCCCCCCCGCCACACGAACACATCACTCCAGCTGGTATCCCCTCCGCCGCCTGCTGAAACAGCTTTCTGATCATAGTGGGAAGTGTGGAATTTAAAGATGTAATAATGTACAGGGATTGGAGAAAAACAGCCAGTGACAGCTGGGAACCAGTATCAACTGGATGGGTCAGAAACGCTAATATAAATTACGCCATGATTTTAAAACCTCTGTGCATTCTGGGGTTACAAAAACCTTTGCTGAGCTAAGTAAGAATTGTTATTGAGCACAACGCCGGTAAGAGGTGGAAAAGTGGTGCAGAAAATGTGATGCTTGTATTCATATTGCAAGGACAGGTCTGCCTAGGAGAGGGAGAGTCCCAAATGCAGAACTACCTCATGAGCGCGTCAATGAAATGCACTGCTGTTGATGTGCTTGGGCCTCTGCTGGAGACCATGGCCCCAGTTATCAGCTAGTCCATCCTTGTGCTCAGTACATTAACAAGGAAGGTAGGGGGGAAAGTACCTTTGTGCTCCCTGTATTCTGGGGCACTGCGGGACCAGTGCAGCCCCTGGTGTCAATCAGAGCAGCCACAAGGCTGCTCTAATTTATGTTCTGTCTCCCAAGGTCCCCTACAGGCCATAGGAAACAGAGAACATGCTGCAGTGCTTTCAGACTACCCCTTCCCTTCCCAAGAGTAGTGCATTTTGGCCACCTCTTCCCTCCCACTGTTTTACCTGCTCTTAGTTCCTGTCCCATCTCACCCCAGCATGCCCTTGGGAACCCTCACAGTTCTGCACCAATAGAAGAGTCCCCTTACACAGGGGATATTCCCTAGGGGCTGTCTCCCCTAGCCTTTCCACCCACAAAGCAGCACAAAAGGACCATAGGAGAATCAGCCCCACAGTCCAGCAGCTAATAGCTATGGTATTTGCTGAGGACTAATCTAGAATGTGGCCTGCAATTCACCAAATTAAAATAAGAGTCTAACAGAAGTTCTAGAAAATTAGCTCAGTACTAGAGGTGGGTCTCCACGGAGTTACACACGGATCAGGGGAGAAACTCTGGATCCAAAGGTGTGACAGGATGGCAAGACAGTCAGATGAGCCCTGTAGAATATCACCAAAGGTAGCCCAGCATAGCCCATTCCTTTAGGAGGCCTCTAGACCAGAAAGGAAGAAGAGTATGAAGCATCCCCCAGCACTCCCCACATTTGGACACAAGCTGAAGACCTCCCCAAACTCTTGTATGGTGTAATAGAGGAGGGACAATGGGATCTGGATCAACTGGACTACGGGAAAATACTACAGGTGAAAACAGGCAGACTATTAATGCATGGGCTGTCCTTTGCTACCTCCCTCGTACTCTGCCCCTGCCCCCCATAGCCTATGCCCACCGTCAGCCCCCCTCGAATGCCCTTTCAGCCTGCCCTCAGGCAAGGCCAAGGCACCTAGCCACGGTAAGCTCCACCCCCTCCCTCAGACCTGCTGAGCCCCCTCAGAGTTGGCTCATTACCAGCCTCTTCTCCCCTCACCATTGCTGCCTACCTCTCCACTGCCGTGGGCTCCCCTTGGCCCCATGGCTCACCCGCGGGGCATTCGGATGTGAGGGCAGCAGCTCTCCAGGTCTCAGCAGCCCCAGCCCCTGTCTCACTCCTGGACGGGTAGCCGAAGGCAGACGGACTGTACACAGTGGTCCCTGCGTCCATTGCCAACTGCAGCTGGTGATGGCGAGCAGTGGGTGAGGGGGGCGATCATGCGTCGAAGCCCCTCACAGGAGTCCATGTCATCCACATGGGAGGGGAGAGGGTGTTGCTCAGTGGGCAGCCCTGGGCCACTGCATGTTCAGGATCCA